GGGATTCATTTCCAATCACACGCACTAATTAAAATTATTACCATTTTTTTCACTTTCCTTTCATGATCCTTAGTGAACATTTTCAATAGCAACTTGATTGCTGCAGCTCCCATTTGTAATGATAAATGATATATTAATATATAGACGTTCAATCTGATGATTAATATCAGAACGAATACAGAATATTGATGGAAAGATTAATGCGAATATGATTGACGTCCAGTCGAAATAGTTATTCCGAAAAGTCCTTTATTCTCATGCCAGTATAACTAAAATGATCTAAATCTAAAACATGTTTCTATAAACTATTCATTAACTTATTCATTATTTCATTAGAAATAGAAAAAAACATTCGTCTAATTCGTTCAAACAACACCATTTTCTTTTTTTTTCTATGTACAAAGAAATATCTTAATAAATATAAACACAATAAGAAAAGTTTCAGGTGCTTTGTAAGATTGAGCATTAAACACACACACACACAGAGAGAGAGAGATTGATTCTGAAATCTAGAATGGAGGATGGCGTCCGGAGTCCCTATTGAATAAGGGACTGGATTCGAACAAGCTGAAGCAACGACGATAGTCAAGGTCCTTTGGGAAATGTATAGCTTGCAAATCAACAAAATCCAAAATGAACACGATTAAAACAGTAGTGCTTTCGAAGAAATTGTTTCAAAGGAAGAATATCGAATTAAGCCTTTAATTTTCCAAGCATTAATATAAATAATAAGACTTAGAGTGGCAGCCACATTCTAGAAACAACATTAATTTATCCTGTTTACAGAGAACCAAGTCAAGGGAAATCAACAGAAATAGTTCTTCCACTGCGTGCAGAGAACTTTCCTGTACAGAAAACAGAAATCAAAATGAATTTTCAGTCTTTGCACAGTGCAGTTGCTCTACATCACATATTAAATATTATAATTATAAATATATAAACGGTAGACGGATTTCAAAGTTCCTGATCAAATAACTAAATAATCCTTATTTTTATATAAAAAATAATCCTTTACCCCTCAAAGGAGGAAATGATCGGAATTCTGCAAAATTCTGAAGTTCTAATGGCCAATATCGTAAAATTTAGTTGAAAGCAAAGTACCTACCCCTTGGCTTTGTTTTCTATAATAACAAAGTTTTATAGAATTTTTGGTTCATACAGTTATGCGTCACTGGAGAGATGGCATAAGGTGCTGCACAACGTTCGTCGAGATTGCTCGATAAATCTCTTCCCTGACGTGCTCTGAGTTCATGGTGATACCAATGTAGACGCCTTGCTGATCGACTCAAGCAGCTCAAGCTTCGATATTCAAACTATAAATATTCAAATGAGGTTTGTTCGATAAAACCTTCTTGAGATACCAAGCTATTTATTTCTTATAGAGAGAAAGCCATTCCGAAACCTCAGTGTAATTTAATCAATTTTCCTCAAAAATTTACTGATACTTTCTTGTTTACTCTTGTTTATTTAGAAAAAAAATTTATTATTTCTTCATTTTATTCCATATAAATAGGGAATTTGGAAACGAAACTAGTTCTTTTATGAACACCACATCTATTTGCCTGCAAATATATGCAAATCAAAGAACAAGAGTTATTCTCAAGAAAACCTTGGAAGCAAAAAATTTGTAATTTTTGGAATGAAAATACACAAAGGGGATACACAAAGATTTTATTAGATCAAAAATATTTTATAGTAAAACTGATCTGAGTTACACAATTAAACGGAAACTTTTAATTAAAGTAAAAGTGACCCAAATGATTTGTTTTGTGCTTCACAAACATGTTACTTAAAACTATAAATTCGATTTTTCATAAATTCTACAAAACATAATTCCTGTTTCATAATAACTCAAGATAACCGATTTATGGAAAATAAAATCTTGAAATAATTTTTTTAAAAAATCCGCAATTAAACTTTCTCAAAAAAATTAATTCCACAGAATTGTTAGTTAAAAATATGCAAAATTCAGATTTTCAAAGATTTTAATTTGAAACCTCTTTGAAGCTTCAATTATTTCTAAGATTTCACGCTATGCTTTTAATATTCAATTGAAATCATTTTTAAATCAATTTTTATTAAAAAATCCTACTAGAATTTAATTATTTTAATACAAAAAGAAATAATTGAATGAATTCTTAAAATTCAATTATCATAAAGAATAATTTTATCAAAAACATAAAAAACTGACTTTTACGGACTTTAAGCAAAGTTACGGACTTTTACGGGATTTACAGTCCTAATTCGAGCCCTGTTTATACGAATTTATCTTTATTTGAAAATATTCTAATTAAAAGCTTATATTTATTCTTACTTTTATTGAAATTATCTCTTGAGAGAAGAAGTGAAACAGGGCTGAAAATTATCTACAGCAAATATTGAATTGCACTATGAATGTAAACGAAATTGTTTTAATGATTTCATTCTTTCAACGCAAACTCCTGATAACAGTAAGTACAACATATGCAGTATAGTTTCGAGAGTTATAAAAGCTCAAGTTATAAGATATGTATGACGCCGACACTCACATATGGGAATATAAGCAAATGTTGGAATGAGAAATCGGTGCGAATTGTGTAGAATTATAGAAAGTTATAATAGCCAACTAACCACTATGCACTAGTCGTCTACCATAGTAAAGTAGTTTTTCGAGAAATATACGAAATGGGAATTAGTTATTCCTTCAAAAATGTCGAAAAAAAAAAAAAATTCTTTCTCAACAATAATTAGATTAGAAATTCAATGATGAATCGACTGTCAGTTGTTAAATTCTCATTCTCTGTCTTTTCTCAGTTTTTTTCACGAGAACCTCCTCATCCGAGAAATAATAATCGTTCATGTCAGTTGAACTTTTGGCCTCGGAAGGATTTAATCGCGGCAGTTTTCTACCCCCTGAAAAGTCGCGCAAAAGACAAACACACTTTGAAAGCAATTTGCGAGTCGCAAGGCAAAATTTCCTTTTCTGAGAATCCATTTGACCAAAACAATTTGAAAGTCCCGTTAATTCGCCACATTGTGCAGTGCAGTTTCAAGAGGAATTGAAAAAGAAATATTATTTCAGGTTCGAGATGTGAATAAATTAATAAGGTTTTCGTGAAATACAATAATTATAATATTTGACTTGGAGGATTGATAAATTTCTTGACAATTAAATATAATTAATGTTTTTAAAATGAACTAATTGTTTTGCATGCAGAGGGAGCGAGCGAGTGTTGAATTTGACTTTGCAGGAAGCAAATGAGAAAGTTGTTAACTTTTGACCTCAAGTCAGGTAGTAGGCAAGTACATACCCTAAGTACTTGCAAAAGCAAATGGATTTTCCCTAAAGACAGTGTTGTTCGAACCACCGCTAACTTGAGTTTCGCAGCAGTGTCACTTTTGCCCGCCAATATATATTATTATATTCCAAAAATGTGTTTGGATAGAACTTTTTAAATTAACTTTTCATTTAGAAAAATTGTTACACTTTTTTTTGATACAAAAAAAAAAGTGATAAAAGTCGAAAACTAGAAAATAAGAATACTTCTCATTCCGTTTACATTTGGTCAGTTTGAGATACTAATATGATATGATGTTATTAAGTTTGAAAACTCTTTAAATTAGATCGGAAGCAGAGGGTGTAATTTGAAAGGTATGTTCTTGAAAGGGACTCTTCAACATCAATTTAATCTTAGAAGTCGATTTCAGCCTGAGAACTTTGCTCGATTAACCGACAGATAGGTAAGTGATGTGAGTGTGTATGTATGCACGACAAGATCTAACTTTAGCCTCAGGTAATTCTTGTATTAATCGAAATTCGTCAATAACTCAGCAGCTTTGAACTGCTTGCAGTCTAGTTTAATTCTGTTTTTGTGATTATGGAAGGTGCAGGTGCAAACTATCTTCGAAAACCTGTTCAATTTCTGAGATTTCTTCTTTCCTGTTACAAGTTTATCCGATTTTAACTGCTAGCCTTCAATTTTTCCAGTCTTTGTATACATATTTTTTATCTGTATTGGGAAATATTATTATATTTCTTCCACTTGCCGGTGAAATGAATTCAAATAGAACGGTCTAAATATACAGAACTATTTATGACGAGCTAAACAATTATTTTCGTCAAATTAACTAAAAATAGAATTGTAATTATTTTCTTTTAGTCTTGACTCGATTGAATAATCAAGTTTGATTTAATTGTTACTTGCAGAAAATTAAAAATATGAATATGAAAAACATGAATTAGAGCCGAATTTAATTTAAATACTCTGGATCATCTTTTGATCGATAAGTTGAGCAGTAATTAGGGGGTTGCCGCAGGGTTACTGTGGATTGCGAATGGCAGAGGGTGTAAATTATGTGTCGATTAAATTCCGGGGTTTGAGATGTTTCAAAGAAGGGGAAACACGGAGAAATTGATTTTCAATTGTAACGATTACTATCCTTGTAATTGGAATTGAAAATTTATCATCATTTTCAAGGTGTGTAGGAAATTTTAAATAAAAAACATTGACTCAGTGTCATTAATATAAATATAAATACTGTTATGTCTATAAATACTGTTTAAAAGAATTTACTTTGTCGAAAGGACGAAAATTAAGTTATCTACAGTTGATGAATAATTTAGTGTAATGTAAAAATTAGAGTGATGTAAATACACGTAATTGCGTGGATGTAGCATACATGCATGCATATAATTCGGGAAATTCGATTTGTTATGTATATAGCATTATGGTATGAATTAGTAATGGTTATGTCCATTTGAGATTATGATATAGGTAATGCAGACATATACCCGCATAAATATAATTATAGACATTATGAAATATTACAATAAATCCTTCGAGTTTATTTTTGAATCAGATCATATCTGCATTAACTTCCTTTATTTATAATTACACATATCAAAATGCTAAAAAATTTGGGTGCTTAAGTGACGAGCTCTCAAGAACGGTACCTTCTTGGAAGCTAATAAATATGCGTCACATTCTTAAATTAAAGCGGAAAAAAATGATGTTACTCACTTATATGATAAGGAATCACAGACTGATCAGCACTTCCTTTGTACGTTTGGAAGGCACGATTTGTTGACGCAAAGACAGTTACGGGTCTAAGGTTTAACGTAGCCAGGGCAACTTTATTCGATTCTAAAAGCTGGAGAAACTGTAACAAAAAAATTATTTCATTATTAGAATAGATATAATAATAATAATAATAATAATAAAGCAACATAAAGATTATTCAATTCAGTGTAAAGGGACTGTTTTTGTGAAACACTTTCGACAGTAATAAATTATAATACACGAATAACCGACGGAAGTTGACAAAATGCAGCTGCCGGGCATGAGATCGACATCGTCAATGAGAGGAAGAAATTTCCATGCGATTCACTAGCAAAGCTTTACAAAGGAAACTCGTTAATTATCAACGTGTAATTAGTCTGTGCAAAAAGTACACTGATCCACTAGAGGGTATTATCCACTTTGAGTTATTCTTCTTGAATAAGTTAGAATTTAAAAGAGAAGACAATCTACATAGTTCAAAGGAAAAGAAAATCGCTTCTATATAACAGCAGACTTTTCTGCCTGCCCTTTGATCCTCTCAAGAAAATTATTCATGAATCTTGATTCAATGAATTTAAACATTCTGTAGCTATTAATTTAACAGCATCACTCAATCATTATTTTTATTAGTATCTATTTCCGGAGAATCAATATTTTTCAATATTCACAAACTTTCTTTTTAACAGCATCAAGTTTTGTTCGTTTGCAAATAAGAGAGGAAGTAGATTCATCGAGTCGATTACTATAATTATTTTTCATGACTGTGGCGAGGCCAATTGAATTCGTAATTAAATTAATTGACAATCAACGACTGTTCTGTGATGCCAAGAGCATTATTGTTCACTCGACAGTACATTCAAGTTATGTAATGATGAGTAATTTCTAAAATAAAACAGAAAAGTACGCTTCTATTCACAAATGTATAGAATGTATAAAACTGAATTTTATTATTCCACTTTCTTTTATATCTCAAATACTTGACACCATTATTTTTTGCTGTTCGATATCATGCTCGTAATTTCCACTAAGAAAACCGGCGACTCGGGATTTCTTCGAAAGCATGAAAAGTGATGATCGTCGTTTTGTGGTCGCACATTGTAGACTGTAAAGGATCAAAAGCTGCTCTTCTCAAATTTTAAACTACCACTTTTTTTCAACCATAGGTAAAAATACCATTACTTTTATATCTATTATTCTATTTAATTTATTTACACAGTTGAGACAAAAAAGGAATCAAATCACGTAGCAGAACATTTTTTGAAAAATTGTACTTTAAAAATAATATTTCATCGTGACAAAACGGTAATTTAATAGAAATATATAGAGCACATAATTGGAACTCTTATAGTAGCCGTATGGATCATAACCCGCATTTACGGCTCTCTATTGACTAAAAGATCAAAAGACGATCACGTAGGTCAAAGGATTTATTCAACAGATAACCTTACCTATATACTATCGGAAAGTGTATCTTTTGTTAGTTAGTTCCTCTCAGCTTCTATTCCTTGGGAGATAATCAGTTTCAATATAATTAACAGACACTACACTTCGCTTTTAATGTTCGCAATTTGCCTCCGATTGATTTTATTTGAAAAAAACTAAACTTCAAATATTTTTGATAAAAATATTTTGCATTAAAATATTCAAATGAACGGGTAAAATAGATTTTTCTAAATCAAATAAACTTTAATAAAAGCACTGAAAAATAAACATGTTGTTTCCTCACTGACAGACTAGTTTAGTACTTACTTTTTAAAGTAAAAAGACTTTTTAACTTTCAGAAGACGTTTGCTCAACCAAATTCATTAGACTTTCTCTTTGAAAATTGAAGTTAATTAAATGATATACGATATACGTAGGTAAACAATAAAATTTAATTATACATTTTTAAGAGAAAAGAGAAAAATTTCTGCACAGAAAATAATTTATGGAATTTATGAAAGGACTTTTTTTTTAACCTTTTTTTACGATTCGAAATATTAAATGCATTTCCATATATGTATTATTTAAAACTGAAATGATTTATCAACTTTTAATTGTGACAATGTGTGTTATAAATTCAATACAATATATCGCGCGTGAATATGAAATGACTTTTTTTTGGAATATAAAGAAAACTCCATTTCTGATATCGCATTGCCATATTGAGATGTGACTCACGTATTCAATATAACAGGTAACCTTTTGGCCTCCAACCCTCCCTTTCAACAAATAACCCGACATTAATGTACTTAGGTCTCGGTGCTGGATAAAAATTCCAATCCGAATGATAATTAAAATTATACTTTCAAATTACAGAGCAGCAATGAAAACAATGTGGGAAAATTTATTCAAACGTTAATTGGATTTAATTAACTTTTATACTGTAAATAAATGTTGTAATTAAAAAATATTAGGTTCGTATAATAAATATAAGAAATTCCGAAGAGGTGATTCATTCATGACGTTTCCTCCCTTATAAACTGATAAAAATGAAGGGTATTGTCTGGCGCCTACTGATCCCCTAGATTCGACCCTCGGAAATCATGATTTCGGATTCGGAGAATTTTGGATTTTCTCTGAAGCCATCATTCAAGTACAAATAATGTCTTAGGAAGCGTGGGGAGATTTACTATGAGGGGTACATAAATATCAAAATTTCCAATCTTTTTACCAACTTTGCTGTGTTTTAATGTAGCAATCGCTATTCCTCTCTTTTCTGTTTGCTTTTAAAATCTTGTTTTATTATTTTTTTTCTTGTTTACAAGCGTAAAAACTTTCTTGCCATGAGAATATTGCAGCTGTCGCGTCGCCATGTAAACTATGCGTTTCGGGTTGAAAAAAGGGGTCGATAGCCCGAGGCCAAAATGTATTCAAATGCCGTTAATGTAAACAGCGATGCGTGAATAAAATGAAGGACGAAAAATTTTGTCATGGATGGACATTAACGTTCAAATGATTTAATAACCGTCGATGATAAGCGGGGTTCATAAATATTCAGATACATTTTCTCCCCGCTGCCTGGCTTTTTCCCTATTGGGAATCAAGTTATTTTTGTAATGCACCATAAACTGTGTTTGTGTGTTTATGTCACTTGCGATTTAGACAACGGAGTTATGTTTTGAAAATTAATTTTGTAAAATACCAAAAGCATGAACGAATGCAAATTCCCTCTCATAATTATTCGATTGTACATGAAAATTAATGTCTTCAGTATTTGCATTACTGTATTATTTTGCAAATGGAATGAAATTGATAATAATAGATGATACATTTCATCGTTTAGCATCAGCCTCTCTACTGTCAGTTATTAGTGAAATAGTTTCCACCCGCTTCTTTTCTTATAATGAAAAATAAATTTTAATTACAATTTTTAATTAGAGCAATTTGAAAATGAAATAGATCTGAGGGAAATTCTTCCTCTGCGCTTTTGATTGAACATTTTACTTTTCTTTTTTATCGCAGGTTAATTTGCACATAGAGTCGACACAATTATAAAGAGACCGGCATATATTTTTTTTTCTCTTCCCCGCTCTTCCCTCCTCGCGTCCTAAATGTACATAATCAAATTTGTCGTAGAAAATACTTTTTGTAATTCGCTCACACACGCGTAAACATACATTTTTGCTCGATTTTCGTTGGCAAATACATCAGATTAAATGAATATAAAAAAAGTCCGCTTGTTTGCTCTTCCAGCTAAATGTGCTCATTTTCATTTTATCTTCATCTTCCAGCATATTACACACATTTTTCTCTCATTTCTATTTTCCTTACTCGGTTTTCGTATGCTGCACAATGAATGCACGGCGGAAACACACCCATGTGTTATTTAATATTTTATTATTCTTACATTCCCAAGACAATGAAGAAATTAATCAAATTTGCACAACATGCAGAATAGAAAATGCAAATTACGGCCTTCTCTCATAAAGTCTTATTTCGAGATTAAAGAAAAGAGTGAAGCAGTTGTGGCTTTAATTAAAAGCTTTTAATCACAATATAATTGCGCAAAAAAATGAAGTAAATATTTAATTTTGATTTAAGAATTTCGATTGTGTGTATCTTCTATCTTGACTGAAATGTCACGACTTGTTCAACTTTTTATTCATGCAAGTTTCCATCGAAAGGAAGTTACCCCGAGGGTGCGATTTACTCGACTAAGATAACCTAATGGTTTAGGATAGTGGTTCCTAAGGCGATCTGCAACAATGGACATTCTTCGTTCAAGCGGAAGTTGTGATGTTGTGGTGAGAATTCTCTTAAAGTCCGGAACGAAATTGTTATATACGACTCAATACGACTCGTAAACGTAGAGTTTGTTTTTTGTAATATCAATTTCCATTCATATCTATACACCAGTTTTTAAAAACGTATCTTTAACTTGATATTTTATTGTTCCGCAAACTATAACAAAAGTTATATAGCTTCTTGCTTTTCTTTAAAGAAGTTGAAAAATTGATAAGCAGTTTAAATTTTTTAATTAAATATATAGGCTGATAAAGTTTGTTGGAGGTATCTTTTCGAAGAGAGGTAAATTATTAACAGAATTTTCCAATGTTTTGAGAATATTAGCTATGCAACTGTGCTATGGTGTTATCGCCTTTGGCGTTTAGTTATTTTGTTGAAGAAAGTTAAACGTACTTTTATTATTTTGTGAGATGCGGCCAGATAGCAACTTTGATTGCTCCAGCTACAGACGTATATTTACTATCTATTTGCCAAGTAAGTGTGCAACTTCCTTGGAGTTAATTTAACGCAACAATTTCATTACACCGTTAAGGCTATTGCTTCCATGATGGTGGGTTTGCATCAAGGGAAGGTTTACTTTATAAAATAACTCTAAAAGTGTTGTTGATTGAAAATCGCAAATCGCTCGCCGAGGAGGGCGCTACACGAAAATCTAAAAAACAAACAAATTTTGAAAAAACAGCAGCTGCAGGCCCACAGTAAGGATTTTGTTCTTGACAGTTGTCGTTTAATCCCGATTTGCCGGAAGCAAAGTGACTAATATGTTAAAGCATTACAGGCTAACTGCCCGAGGGATATATTCACGGGTAACCAGTGGATATTTATAGATGCATCGCGCTTCACGGATATATACAATCGGATAACAGATGCGTC